TGATTTCTTTTGTTATTTTTATAAGAATAAATGTTACAACAAATACTCTACTATTTATACAATATTTTGTTTAATATAAATGCTTGAATGACACAAACAATATAAATTGTGTCACAATTAATATAAATTAAATTATTTTTACTGGAATGAGATAGCTCGGTCATAATAAAACAATATTTACTTTAACTAGGTTAAAATAATTATTTATAGTGTCAACAAAAAAAACCACTCCTACTGTGTGTCAAATATTTGAAAATGCAATATTAAGAATGGTGATTTGGGCTAGCTAATAATTACTGTATTATATTTATGCAGTACTAAAATTATACTATTGTTTATGATCAGAATTGAGTTCATTATAAATTATCACAATTAATTAAAGTATTAGTAGTACCCTGTTCATATCTTTATTTAATTTTAAAACTTAAAAATAATAATAATAAATATTTTGTGAAATAAATGTAATTTTATTTAAGTTTTTAAAAATATTCTTATGAGCATTTTAAATAAAAATGTAAACAATACAATAAATTAAATTAATAATATGAGAGTAAATTTATTTATAATAATTTAGTATTTATTCTATTTGAGAAAATAAAAATATACTTTAATAAAACAATAATAGCATCTACATAAATGAATTTATTATTATTTAAAACATTAAACTAAATGATAATAAATAAAAATACTAAAATCTTAAAAATTACAATAAGTTTCACATTATTACTTTTACAATCGATAATATTTATATTATACCATGTCGAAACATATGTTGTTTCCGAGTACAATGTGATAGCGGAACACATTTTTGACTAGTGCTGTTTTCGAGGACAAAACCCGTGTTACAGACACACCCACTCACGCATAATGCTATACATGGTTGTGGCGCACTGTTATAGTTTTGACACGTGACCGGACAGGCACTACCGCATGAATTATACTGACCATTGGCGCACGTGGGTATTAAAGGGCCTAGTATACAGTATAACACATTAATTAATAAAATTATATAAAATTAAAATATAAAAATTAACTACTACCTTGAGCATATGAAGCATATACTACGTTTATTATACAAACATTAACGAGTATAAGTACAACAATAATTTTGAGTTTTTCCATGTTGATTTTTTTGGTAATATTTATAATGATAAATGTTACAAAAAATACTCTACTATTTATACAACATTTTGTTTAATATAAATGCTTGAATGACAAAAACAATATAAATTGTGTCATATTTAATATTAATTAAAGTATTATTACAGGAATGAGATAGCTCGGTCATTATAAAACAATTGTTACTTTAACTAGGTTAAAATAATCATTTATAGTGTCAACAAAAAACCAATCCTACTGTGTGTCAAATATTTGAAATTGCGATATCAAGAATGGTGATTTGGCCTAGATAATAATTATCTGCTAATAACAATTACTGTATTATATTTATGTATTGCTAATATTAAACTATTGTTTATGATCAGAATTGAGTTAATTATAAATAATAATTAATTATCAGAATAAATTAAATAGTTTAGGTATACATTAAAGTATTAGTAGTATCCTGTTCAAGTCTTTTATACCTTTATTTTAATTTTAAACTATCATTATTAACACAATTTGAATATTTAAATAAATATAAATAACAAGTGTTTTAGATATAAACATCATTTTATTTAAGTCTATCAAATATTAACAAGTACATAAATAAATAAATACAAAGGTTTGAGAATTCATAATTGGACTTGAACATTTAATATTAATTAAAGATAATAAATATGACCAGAAAACCACACATAATATTATATCATATAGTATTATATCACAAGTACCAATTATCATTATTGTTTACCTAAAATATTATAATATTAAAATAACATGATAAAAACACAAAAGTACATCATAAAATTACATTTATATCACACCATGGGCAAACCGTTTTGTTTGAGGCAAGCGTGGACATTTTTCAGGCAGCACACAAAGCTGGCCATTACCTACCAGTTTGATATAACCCGACTTACAGGCGCACCGCCCGATACACTGTTTGGTACAATATTGTGGCGGATTTTGGTAATTTTGACACGTGAGCGAACACGCAGTGTCACAATTGGTGTACTCGCTATTGGTTGGACACTCGGGTTGATTAGGGCCTAACGTAGAAAATAATTGTAATTATTATATAAAATTATATGCATATCAGTACCTTGGGCATATATTAGGCAAGTGTTAATGAGTATAAATGATACGATTACAGTCACTTTAATCATGATTGTCTGGTGATTATTTTTTATAAGTATTTATAAGTACTTATATTAGGTAAAGAGTTAGTATTGAAACACTAAAACAATCGTATTTATACAAAATATTTATGATTTAAAATGGTTTCAGGAAACAAATAACAGATGTGTCAGGATATATTTTGTCAATATTTGATATTAATTACAAATTAAATTTAATTAAAAAGGAAATGAACGCTAGAGCTTTGTCGCTTCAACTCGTTCATTTAAAAATAGTACAACTTATTAAAAATTATTATATTTATTTTTTATAATTTTGCAAAATATATTTTGTTTGTAATACATCATAATGTTATTAAAAATATTATCATAAATTAATTACATTGTAACATACATTGTGATACCAAACAACATTTATTATTATTTAAACCATGCTTATATAAATGATTACATAAATTATCACAATTAATTAAATAGTTTAGTTATACGTTAAAGTATTCGTAGTACCCTGTTCAAGTCTTTTATGTCTTTAATTTAATTTTAAGCTATCATTATTAACACAAATTGAATATAAATAACAAGTGTTTGTGGATATAAATATCATTTTATTTAAGTCTATTATCTAAATAACAATACATAATAATAATAATCATATACTGTAACATAAATAAATGAATACAAAGGCTTAATAATTCATAATTGGATGTGAACATTTAAATTTAATTAAAGATGATAAATGCGACCAAAAAACACATATATCATAAATACCAATTACTATTATTGTTTACCTTTTTATAAATACAAAAATAACATGATACAATGTAAGAACACAATTGATAACAGTACATCATATAATTACATTTAGATCACACACCATGGGCAAACCGTTTTGTTTGAGGCAAACGTGGACATCTTTCAGGCAGCACACAAAGCTGGCCATTACCTACCAGCTTGATATAACCCTTCTTACATGCGCACCGCCCGATACACTGTTCGGTACAAAATTGTGGCGGATTTTGGTAATTTTGACACGTGAGCGGACACGCAGTGTCACAATTTGTGTACTCGCTATTGGTATTAGTTGGACACACGGGTTGTTTAGGGCCTAGTGCATAAAATAATTGTAATTATCATATAAAATTATATGTTTACCAGTACCTTGGGCATATATTAGGCAAGTGTTAATGAGTATAAATGATACAATTACGGTCATTTTTTCCATGATGATTTTTGGTGATTATTTTTATAAGTATTACAGTGTTTATAATTACAGTGTTTATACAGTGTTAGTATTTATAAAACTAAAACAACTATATTTATACGAAATATTTATAATTAAAAATGGCAGCGGAAAACATATGTGTCAGGATATATTTTGTCAATATTTAATATTAATTACAAATTAAAATTAATTAAAAAGGAAATGAACGCTAAAACTTTGTCGCTTTAAAATCTTGTTCATTTAAAAATAGTGCAACTTATTAAAAATTATTTTATTTTATAATTTGCAAAATATATTTTGTTTGTAATACATCATAATGTTATTAAAAAACATTATCATAAATCAATTACATTGTAACATACATTGTAATACCAAACAACATTTATTTCTATTTATACCATGCTTTTATAATTGATTACATAAAACTATTTAGGTTAAACATAAATAATTAATTACGATATAATTAATAATGTTAACTAGGACAAACAAAATTCATTTATAATTGTTAAATTTTTTACAATCATAGTATTTTACACATTTGTTAACGTCCTTGCTCACTTTAACGTAGGGCCTTTTGCATTCGCAACCGGTATAACAATCCAGAGTACAGGGTCTTAATGAGCGTTGATAGTTTTGACAGGTGAGTGGGCATGGTGAACCGCATTTGTTATACCTTGCCCCTCGTCCGCAGTTTGTACGTTGCCACAACTCTAAAAATAAAATTAATTATAGTCATAGTTTTAAAGTAAATGCTAAATTACATACCTTGACTATGTGCCAAGTATGAGCATAATATAATGAGAATAATTAAGTTTTTAATCATGTTGACTATTTTGTTAGTTCTGTATTACGAAAAATTTTATTTATTTTGTCTAGCCAAACGTTTTTACATCAATTTTTAAAAAAAATATATTAATTTTATTGTTAAAAAACTTTACAAAAACTTTCTACAGGAAGGATATTGAATATGACATTGGTGTTTTATGTTGACTAAATAGATATTAATAGAAAAAATAAAATTAAATGTCTAGATCATCGATGAGCATGAATACTTTTTTCCCATAAAAATTGTTTTGAGCCAATCATTATAAACGTTATAATGTTTGACTAAATATTGTGCCCTTGAATTGAATGCATACACATCTTATTCACTCCTTCCTTACTATGACTATAACACTATGTATGAATAGTTGCACTCTATATAATCACTTTTGCCCGTATAATTGCCCTTCAGCTCATCGAAGGTCTAGATTTTTTGCAAAGATTTTGTCTGTTTCCTAGTCATTAATTTAGGTCTATATCAATGTTTTTATTTTTATTAAATATATTTGATTTATTTCAATATTAAATTTTCATAATTATTTATAACTTCTAAATCCACAAGTTATTGAAACAATTAAAAAAAACTATTTAATTTGCGAATATAATTTAATAAAGTAAATTTATAAATTCAACAATAACTTTTAATTTACTATTAATGTACTGTAGTTTTCTGTATGCATACAAACAGACTACAGTCTACCCACTGTACCCGCGTGTCCTCAGCCCCAACAGCCGCACTCTTCCGGTGCCACACACTTATCAATGGCATCGCTATAGCGTATGAGTCCGGGCGCACAAACACATCCCGGTGAGCACTCTCGGGTACACACGGGGTCAGAGTTGTCACATGTTGGCTGACAATTGGCCATACAGTCACTGTATACTCTATCTTTACCACAACCTATAAATTATTGTTATTTATTTATTCTTAAATAAGTATTTATAAAAATTAGTTATATGGATGAATTACAATAGTTTTAATAAATATTTATAACTTACGTCTTTTTACAGCAAGTATTAAAACAACAAACATGCTAATTCTAATTATTTTCATCGTTTTTTGCAATAATAATAGTTTAAATGATTTTTATTTTTAGTATTATTAAGTTTTTATATTACAATAAAATTGTAAAATTAGATAAGGTATTCAATCAACGTAACAGTAATTAATTATCATACTTTTTACATTAAATGCAGTTTATAACTTGGTTTAGGCACGTTTAGGGATGATTTATTGTTTTACATATTGGTAGTTACTTTAGTATTTTACAATTATAATAACAACAACAATATAAATAGATTGTTATTTTGTTAAATTATTTATATTTCAAATCAAAATTGTAAAACATTATTATTAAATAAAATAATAAATTTCATTTTAAACTAGTTATGATATTGGTTGGTCAATGAGTCTAAATTCTCGTACATTATCATTATAAAATTAGTTTTATTAAACTTTAATAAGTATGTCAAAATTTTATAATTAAAATAAATATTTAAATAAAAAATTATGCTTGAATATAATTGCTTAATTTATTTTAATTGAATTTATTAACTATAATTAAATAGAAAATAATCAGAAAAAAATTCAATTATATTACATTAACAAAATATGATCAGTAACAACAATAATAACCATGGACCAAACTACACAGCTACACCAAATCGGGTTGAGTGACCAGGAGGTGGCCGTGGACCGCACTCACTGGGCCGCACACACCTGAGCCGGTTGTTCCAGTCATTAACATAACCAGGAAAGCAGACACAAGTGGGTACGCATACCATTATACAGGCCATACGGCGTCGTCGGCTGGACGTTAGGGTATGGCAACTTGGGGCGTGGCTACATGCGCTGCCGCATGCATTATAGCGGCCATTAACGCATTCTAGAAAAAATAATGAGATTTATTTAATTAATAGTGGTTTTATAATTAATTTAATTCTTACCATTAGCTAATGCAATAGTCAAACATACACTGATAAATATTAAAAGCTTGATCATTTTTATCATTATCATGGTTGTATTTATTATATATCACGATATTGTTTGAAAGTTTAACACCGATATGTAAATACGGCCATTTAATTACATTGTGTGTAATTAAATAAGTATTTGAATTAATTGAAATATGTTTTTATAATATACACTTTTTATTTAATTATAATTTTATTTTTAATATATGTTAAGCATTACAACAATTTTAGATACAGCATACTGTATCATAATGTAGCGCTTTAATCGGGGTATTGGGAGCATTGAAAGAATGTGTGCCCCATAGATGAACTCCCCCTAGAATCTAAATGACCATTGCCATTATTCATTTAAGCACCATAGTCAATCAATCATAGCGCCTAATGCAATTTCTGGATCTTACGCATACGTTACTATTACTAGTCCTGCGAACGTAACCCCGGTTACAGACACAACCGGCCACACATACGGCTGCACAAACTTCCGGTGGTCGGCGTAAGTTCTGGCATGTGGTGGGACAGGCGGTGCTACAGCTACTGTACCGGCCGTTAACGCACCCTGTACACAAATAATTTAATTAACTTATTTTATTTATAATATTAATATTGCTTACTTTGTGCGTATGCCAATGTTGCAATTGAAACCACAATCAACAGGGTAAATATTTTCGAACGCATATTTATCAATAATAGTAAACTTTAAACAAAATAATTAATATATTTTTAATATAAATTTATTTTTAATCGCGATTTATTTATATACTTTTAAGCTTATATTAAAAGTCGATCATGTATTAAGTGCGGATGTGGTAAAATTTAATATTTAATATCAATGTTAAGTTTTATTTGAAAATAATTTTTAATCATGAATTTAATCATGCAGGAAAAGGATACCAAAATAAAAATTTTAATTTAATTGATGTAGTTGTTTTATGGAAGTTTGAAATAATTGTTTTAATAGATTAATAACAAATAAAAGGATTATTTTTTATCTGCAGGAAACTAATTGTAAACAAACATTAAAAATAAAAAATTTTCTTTATAAATAAATAACCACAATTAAAACAGTCTAGTTTTGTAAATACTGTTTTTATTATAATTACAAGATTAAAAGTAATTAAAGAATTTTTAATACAGTTAATGCAAGCAGTTAATCTAGCTCATCAGCCCCTATTTTTACATTGACTGGGTTTAATACACCTGCCATTAGTACTGCTATAGCGTATGAGTCCGGGTCCACAAATACATCCCGGCACACAATTTCGAGTACAGATCGGGTTATTGTCATTGCAGTTGGGCTGGCAATGGGCCGAACATTCACTGAACTGCCCGTTTGGCCCACAGTCTATGCAAACAACAAAATTATTATTATTTTATTATGGTACTAATTAAAGCATTAACTCACTTTGAGCCCTTATACACACAACCAATATCAGGGCAAACAATAGGGTACAGTAAATAATCTTCATGTTGTTCTCTCAATGCTTAAAATAGTTTACTACTGTATATTTTTAGCATATTTTGTAATTTTATATACTGGCTTAAGTGCGACAAATATTGTTGTTTGTTTAAGCATCCTGACATAACATGAGTTTTACATCAGTAATTAATTGTAATATGTTTTCTGTTGATCATTATTAATGATTCATTAATAATTTTGTATTTCCAATTTCATTGCAAATAATATTGTGAAAATATTTGTCATTTATTTGCTATCAACTGTAAACATCTCTATAATAAAATATTAATGTCATTTATTTTTCTAACTGTTATTACAAAATAAAATGATGTAAATTAAAATAATTAATTTTTATCTTAAGCAAAGTTACATTGGAAAATATTATTTTACGTTAAACACTCATAAAATTCAAAATACAATTACATCAAACATTATAATACAATAATGACGAATAAATAAATTTTTAAGAATATTACAAAACAAATAACAAATATAAGTTTTAAATATCAAATCACATATGAGTTAAAAGTATTCATAAAAAGTTTAACTTTTTTATTAGGTTTAGTCACATTTATAATTTAATTTTTTAATGGTTGATTCAATGGTTGAAATCAATGCTATAGTTATAATTAAACCTAATGTAAGAGTTAAGCTCTTTATGAATACTCATAAAAGATATAATATAATATGGTGCTTTTCATAATTAAAACAAATAAATTATTAAAACACATGGATTATTTAGATATACAAATCCATGTATTCACGCTATCCCCAGGCCATCAACCTTTGCGGGGACAGTCACGGGGTTTAACACACTTAGCGTCTGTACGGCTATACCTGATGGTGCCAATGGGACAAATACACCCGGGCAAACAAATGCGGGTGCATTTTGGGCTTTTGTCGTGACAGTTGGGCTGGCAATGGGACTGACAGGGTGTGTATAGTCCGGTGCGACACTCTATGTCAATTAAGATTAAAATTTTGTCATATAAAATTGTATTAAAAAATAATAATTTAATTGACATCAAAATATTTATTAAATTATTTTACATACTTTGTCCCTTTTGGGCGCTGATATTTACAATCAATACCAATGCAA